TGTCCCTCTCTGTCCTCTCTCCCTCTCTGTCCCTCTCTCTCTCTCCCTCTCTGTCCCTCTCTCTCCCTCTCCCCCCGCTCCCCCCTCTCTCCTACCCTCTATTTGTGAATTATTCACTCATAGAGGACTTTGTCGAATCCTTTCATGTAGTGCATCACATCTGTAGGTTGTCTTTTGCCAATGCCATAGTCCATGCATTGTGTGAATGATTCAGTTTGCTGATGGTTGATCTTCTTAGGGAAAATCTTTGTTGTTCCACAGTAATTATGAAGTAAAGAAGGCACTTTTTCTGCAAAGAAAGGCGTGTAAATCAATAGACAACCTTACCTTAAAAACAATTTTCCTATCTTTCATACTACCGATAATAGAATATGGGAATTCAGCATTGATTCCCTACCTGTTAATGGTTATAGATCTTCTGGAGAGAACATTGAGAAAGGCCACATATGTCTCAATTGGTATTAAAAACCTATCCATATGAATGTAAACACAATTCTAAAAATGCAGTCAGTACCCACCAACTCAAAGCAGACAAAACAGAAAACTTTAAAATTATGAAATGCTTCTCCAATGTTGCTTAAGTGCCGCACATGGCCACACACTTTGGGCCACACATTACCACACACTACAAGCTTTGGGGGGCACAATATAAAACTAAGCAAAACCAAGTTCAAAACCCTCCTGCACAAGAAAATTCATGTTGAATGAATGTTTTAGACCAGTGGAATGATCGTCCACAACACAAATAAGAGTCAAGAACATTTGATGAATTTAAACTTACAAATTATGTTTTTATTTGTGTGTCACATGAATATTATGGGTGATAAACTCATATAATTACATTGGTAATAACCTGGTTGAATTTGTGCTGGGTGGACTGTATCTCATAATGGGCTAGACTGGATTCATCCGATCTATTGCGCTTTCAAGGACATGAAATATAATGGACTGAGGAATTCGTGAGATAGACTGAAACTGGCAATTTTTGGAAATTTATAGAACGTAGTGTTTTTGACCTTTCTTCTATTTCTTTATATTCCATTTTTTGTTATCATGTATATACTTTTCGTGATTAATAATATTATGAATGTTATGCTGATTGAAGCATATTAATTTGCTCTGTTTCGTGTAAACTAAGTAAATAAATAGTTATGATGTTCAGAGATTTTTGCCTAGGATAATTATTTAGAGCAACTGAAAAAATCCTTCTGTTGAGCTGCTATCATTTTTATTTTGTAACAATATGCTTCCTAAAATGACATCCTGCATTGCTCATAAATCAAAATCATTGTTCTTTGTCTTACAAGTGGCTGAAAGTGACCATTATGTGCAAGTTAATTGATTACTCATATAATACTAGTGTAACACAAGTGTACGATTACTAACGAGCCCATATTGGTCTTCCAGCCACATGTAGTATACATTTATCTTATCTAAATACTTTTTTAACATTTTGACATTAATTATCCACCTGTATGATTATGGTATTGTATTAACTTTGGCCGCAGAAATGGTGATTTCGCAGAGGAGGCTATGACCTCCTCACACACTTTAAATGTACAAGTAATTACTAAATACAATATTTTCTTTGCTGTATGAGGGAAAAGTATATTTTTTTGTCTTGTCGAAGTTTTAAACTGCGCCTGTTTTGTAGGCATTACGAACACTTGAAATTGCTTTGAGGAAGAAGTCTCAACATTTTCTCTTGTGTAGTATTTGCCTATATAGC